TTCGGTCGCCGAAAGCCCGCAATCTCCGCCAATTAGCGATGATTTTCGTAAATCGAGTCGTAGCCGCGAATTAATTGGTCCTCGACTTTCTTTACCACCATCACCATTTCTACTCTTCCCTACCTTAACCTCCTGTTATCCCTCTTTACCCTCCTCTTTCTTCTGAGCTCCGTCGTAGAAATACTCGAAAAACTCGTTCAAACCCCAACGACAAAATATATATATATATATATATATATATATATATTCCTATGGCAATCGTAACCTCATCGATAAAACATCGAATGAATTTTTTTGAATTGTATGAAACCAAAAAGAAAAAACAATAAGAAAATAAAAAAATTAAAATATATAATCGATGAGGGAGAACAGAGAGAGAGAGAGAGAGAGAGAGAGAGAGGGAGCGAAAGGGTGGGAAGGGAAGAAAGAAATCGTTGCAAAAGAAATTCGAATGTTTCTTTTTTTTTTTTCTTTCGCTACGAAAATTTATTAATCTTTTTTTTCTCCCCACCCTTTTTTCTCCTCTTTCAATTATTTTTGTTCATATCTTCCAGTTTATTTTTCTCCCCGTTCATTCATTCAAACGTCACAGTATTTTCACAGTTCCTTTGACTCCAATGGTAAAAATATATTTAAGCTGAAACATCCCTTTCACAAACCATTTCGAGCTTAGCCATCCCTTTCCCCCCTCGCCCCTTATCCTTCTCCACCTACACCACCATCACCATCATCAGCTACGCCATCCCTCGATTACTACGTAATCGCTCTCACGCGTCACGTTAAAAGTTTACGTTTAATGTTCGACGATTAAACAAACTCTAACGCTTTAATCAAAGGGTGTATATACGAAAATTCGATTCTCTCTCTCTCCATTAAATTTTTTTCTTTTTTTTTTTTTTTTTTTTTTTCTTTTTTTTTTTCAAACCTATTCGTTCGAAAATATACGGAAAATTTCGGCTGATATATCGACTCCCATAAACCTGTTCCTCTTGTTTTATTTTTGGTTTTTTTCTTTTCTTTTTCCTATTTTTTTTTTTTTTTTTTTTAATATTAAGTTGTATATCCATATCTGTAGTAAAATTGTATTGACTAAAAAAAAAAAAAAAAGAAAAAAAAAACTAATTTTTTAATTAAACGATAAGAGAGAAAGAGAGAGAGAAAGATTACGTATAGAAAAATTTTATGAACGATCTGTTTTTATATATGAAAGAGCACAAAATGAAAATTATTTTTTGTATAATTATCACTCAATGAAATAACATTTAACAATTGTGTAAAATTATTATTATTATTATCATTAAAGTATTTATTCATTAATATTAATTATTGGTATTATAAAAAGAGATAAGTAAAAATTGTAGTTAAACAAAAAGAAAACAAAAAAAAAGAAAAAAAAAAGAAAGAAAACCAAAAAAGAAAGAATAATAAAAAAACAAAAACCTAATAATGATCGACAATAGAGACAATAGTTTCTTTCATTTTCGCATCTTATCGTATAGTTACGTAAGATTAAAAGAATGAGAGAGAAGGAAGGAAAGAAAGAAAGAAATAAAGAAGATAAGAAATATCTTTGGAGAAATTAATCAACGAGAATGTAATGTCCCATAATCTTAATTATCTTTATAAATATCACACGCGATCGTACAATCTGCCTGTAGTTTCACGTCCATTCAGAAATACAACGTCCGAGTATGAATGAACTCGTTTCACGTCGATCACTCTCATCTATCTCTTTCTCTCTCTCTCTCTTTCTCTCTCTCTTTATCTCGTTCGTTTCACTCTCGTTCACAACGCGCATATGCTGAATAAACAAACAGTCGATTGGCGAGCATAAAGCCAACGATTCTTCCTCTTTCTTCTTATTTTGTATCTCTTTCTCTCTTTATGGTTTGTCTTATCAGAGATAGAAATTCACTGAGTGATAATTAATCGTGATTTTAAGAGCTCTCTCTCTCTCTCTCTCTCTTTCTCTTTTTCTCTTTCTTTTTGCCAGCTGAAGATCTTTGAATGAAAGAGATGGATAGATAGATAGAAAGATAGATACATAGAAGAGAGAGAGAGAGAGAGAGAGAGAGAGAGAGAGAGAGAAAGTGATATGGGGACCACCATGAATGCATTTCCGGAATTATAGTAATCGATGACACAGTCGAAGTTCTGTCTTCGTGCAGCTGTGAATTCGACTTCTCTCTCTCTCTTTCTTTCTTTCTTTCTTTTTTCTTTTTTTCTTTCTCTCTTGAGTTTTTTTTCTTTTTTCTTATACAGGGTGTAACTTTCTGAAATCAGGTCGTTCGTTTACGTCGAATGATTCTATGAAAATTTTAATGGAATTATCGTATATATCGATGATATAAATATTTTAATTTTTATTTTATAAATTTTATTTGGAATAAATAATTATTCAAATAATAATGGAAATGTTTGATTGATTATTATCGAATTGCATTTCTTTTCTTTTTTCTTTTTTTTTTTTGTTTCATTTTCATTTTGCATTAATAAATAATAAATAACAATTATCCAGATGATAATTATTTATATATATATATAATATTTTTTATGTAATTTCAATATAAACATTCATTGAATAGCGAAATTATATTATAAGAAATGTTATTAATTAACCTAAGTTATCATTGTACTCAATAAACGTATTATATATAAATAAATACACAGACACACACACACACATACAGGTATACATAAAAAATATTGTGTGTATTATAAAATATCTTATTTATAGATATTTTAATATGTAAATATTATCCACATTCACATATTACTTCAACATCCTCACTATACATAGATATATATGATTAAATGCTGTTAACACACATGCACATGGGACATAGATATAGAGACATGGAAATGTACATATAAAGAAAAAAAAAATATACGACATACGTATGTATATATATATATATATATATATATATATATATATATATACATACGTATATATATATATATATATATATAGAGAGAGAGAGAGAGAGAGAGAGAGAGAGAGAGAGAGAGAGAGAGAGTATAGGCTCGCGTATTCGTTCTCGGAGGATGCTATTCATCGGAAGAACCCATGAGAGAGGGGGTCTGATTGGTGAAGGGAGAAGGACGAGAAGATGGAGGGCTCGAGGGTGAGGCTAAGACAGGAGAAGCGGGACGGGGGCCAATCAGAGAGCCACGGACTTGGAGGATGTCGTTGCCTGGCAACGAAACACACCCCAACACCCGAGGGGAGAAAACCCCCTGAGGCAACTCTCTCTCTCTCTCTCTCTCTCTCTCTCTCTCTCTCTCTCTCTCTCTCTCTCTCTCTCTCTCTCTCTCTCTCTCTCTCTCTCTCTCTTTCTCTTTCGGTCTCCCTTTAACGTAGCATCGATACAGTCGGTGCCGAAAGTTATCGCACCCTTGAGAGCAGCCCTTTTCGACCCTGCCGCACAGATTTATTTCTCTTCTCTTTTGCACAAGCGGATGCTCACGGACAATTAAGCCACCACTGATGAGTCCAATGAAGGGAGGAAGTTGAAAGTGAGAAGAGAAAGAGAGATAGATAGATAGATAGATAGATAGATAGATAGATAGATAGATAGATAGATAGATGGATAGAGAAAGAGAGGGAGAGATAAAGGGAATAGTGGGGGAGAGAAAACTTTTCCTTTGTCTCTTTTCAAAAATATCATTTTCATGTAAAACAATATTTAATAACAAATATATGTGTGCATGTACATGTGTGCTTCAATTATTATTATTTTTTTATAATAATTATTAGCACAGATTGATGTCCAATCATGAGAAATTAAAAGTGAAAAGAGAAAAAGAGAGTGATTAGAGAAATTTTTTCGCTTCTTATATAAAATTTATCATTTAAAAATACGAAAACTTTTATTATTAACATTATTATTATTATTATTATTATTATTATTATTATTATTATTATTATTTATTTTGTTAAAATAAGATTCAGAATTATATAAATATATTCCGTAATTATATATATTCTCTCTCTCTCTCTCTCTCTCTCTCTCTCTCTCTCTCTCTCTCTCTCTCTCTCTCTCTCTCTCTCTCTCTGTCACATTCTCTCTCTCTCTCTCTCTTTAATTCTGTCGATTTATTTATTATATAGATCCAAAGAAACGTCTGAATAGAAATATTATGATCTCTCGATCACATCATGATCCGCCGGGCAAATAGAATTTTCCTCTCGGTACCTTTTTCAAATCCCTTTTAAAACTCAGCTCGTTTATCGAAAGCCGATTATATACACGTACATACATACATACATACACACATATACACTCATACATACATACACATATATACACTCATACATACATATATACATACATATCAAGCCAATTGGAGGATAGCAATTGTCATTGAACGATCATTCCCATTTTTCTGACTCCTTAAATCGTAGGAAAAGGATTAAGATGCTTCATCCTTTGAATTCTTCCTTTTTTATCTCTCCTTTTCAATCCTTCTTTCTCAAGTAAACCTTTAGACCCTATATATAGTATGTATATATATATATATATATATATCTTTCTCTCTCTCTCTCTCTCTCTCTCCTTCTTTCCCTTTCTTTTTTCACCAACGAAAGGATTAAATCGTTCTATTGATCTTTCTCAATAGATCCCTCGATCCTTTCACGTGCCAACAGGAGTAGCCACTGTTTTGACATTCGTCTCTCTTCTTTCCTTCCTTCCTTCCATCCATCCTTTCGTTAAGCTATTTAATCCTTTCAATTTTTTTTCTTTTCCTTTTTTTTCTGTAGTTCTTTCATTTCTTTCTGTCTCTCTCTCTCTCTCTCTCTCTCTCTCTCTCTCTCTCTCTCTCTCTCTCTGTGTGTGTGTATATGTGTATGTATAAAAAAAAAAAAAAAAAAAGAAAAAAAAAACAAGCCAACGAACAAATCCGTCTGAAAATCTTACAAATATTTATAAAAACTTTTATAATCCCTTTCATTGATTTCGTTTACTTGTTAATTATTTTTTTTTTTTTTCTTTCAGAAATCATCAAAAGCAATCTCGATCGTCGAAACGATAAATGTCTCGCAATAGAAGAGGACGATGGTAACGTAACATAAAATTTATTTTTATATGCAAAATATACAAGGTGTCAAAAGTTAGTTTTTATGTGATTTAAAAAAAAAAAAAAAAAGAAAAGAAAGGAAAAAAAAAATACAATCGATCACTACTCCTTTCTCGAGTGACATTTTAAGCTCGCGATCTAATAAAATCTAGTCTGCAATTGTGTGGTTTTAATGATTTTTGAAAAAAAAAAAAAAAAGAAAAGAAAAGAAAAGCAAACGCCAAAATACGTCTAAAAAAAGTCTCAAGAGAAGACTTTTAAACTAACTTTTGACTCCGACTTAGAGATTTTTGAATATCCCAGAACTTGTTTATTTATATTAAAATTTGTTAATATCGTTGTTATTATTATTGTCATTTTCTTATCTTTTTCTTGTTTTTTTTTTTTTTTTGTTTTTTCTTTTTTTAGATTGTACTGTGATCGAACCGACGAGCTCGCAAGCTTCTCTCGATGGATCGAAGAAACGTTCTGAAAATATGATTAATTTGGATGATATCCTCAATGAAAATAAAGAGTATAAAATAATTCTTTTTCTTTTATATATATATATATATATATATATATATATATATATATACACTATATAGATTTCGTGTTATAATCTCGTTATAATCTCGATTGATTTATTTATTTGCTTATTTGTTTACTTAAGGAAGACACGTTTGAAAATACCAAAGATTTATTATGGAACTCGTACCCATAGACAAATCGAACAAGTCGTGAAGGAACTTGGCCGGACTGATTACAGAAACAAGAAGTAAGAAATAATAATTACATTAATTTGTCTTTTATATATTATCAAGATATTTCTTTTACATATAAATATGCGAAGAAAAAATTTTACTATTCGTTCGTTGATTTATTTTTTTTCTTTTTTTTTGCTTCTTCGTTATTTCAATTATTTCCGATCAGTCGATTCAATTCTTTCAATTCGATTTATAAAAAATTATAATAATAAATAATATTTAATAATATAGAATGTATCGTAATATTTAAAATATTCGTAATAATTAAATGATTGAATAATCTTATACAGTTATAATATTAAGTTCTAAATAATTTTCAAAATCTTTAAATTGCTTAAATATATATTACATGATATAAATATTTTTTTATAAAAATTATTAATAATAAATTCATCGTTTTAGAATGACTATACTGAGTAGTCGAGAACATACCTGCCTTCACAATACCACGAGGAACAAAACAGAATTCTGTTACAGTCTACTCGATCCTGAGGTCTTACAATAGAAATTAATAAATATCGTATAATTAATTAACTTTTACTGATTGACGTATATAATTCATTTTTTTTTTTTTTTTTCTTTTTTTTCAGTCATTCGGATGTATTTATTATAATGAAAAAAATAAAAAGGATCTATCGACGTTCTCTCAATTGGAAAAAAATGGAATAACTATGCCATTCGATATCGAAGATCTCGTCGAAGTTGGAAGAAAAAATCAAGTTTGTCCGTACTTCGCTGCTAAAAATTTAGTCGCGGAAGCTGAGATAATAATCTGTCCTTACAATTACATCATCGATCCTGACATACGTGAAAGCGTAATTATCATTCCAATTTTATTATTTTTATTTTTTTATTTTTTTTTTTTTTTATGTTAATCGATAATTCAAGCCCATTGATAGGGAGAAGGAAGGACATACGCATCAGATACTCTGTCTCGAAAAAAGAAAAAAAAAAAGAAAAAAAGAAAAAATTTTATTTTTACTAGAATATCGCATAATTAAAGGTAATGCGATTAAGATCAATTTCAATTTTTTTTTTTTTTTTTTTTTTTTTTTTGAATACACAAGTTACTATTTTTAAGATATTCGTTTCTCTTTTTACGAACTTGAAAAAATATTGATTTATTCGTTCGTTTTTTTTCTTTTTTTGTTTTCCTCCATCGATGGTTTTTATTTTAATTAATTACGTGAAAAAAAAAAAAGAAATAAAAATAAAAAAAGAAAAATTAATGTTCGTAAAATCATAATTTACGACGATTCATAATTCGTTTATTAATAAGGAATAATTTATTTCATAGATGCAAATTAATTTGAAGGATCAGGTAATCATATTCGATGAGGCTCATAATATCGAGGACATCTGCCGAAATGTCGCCAGTGCCGATTTTAGGGAAGATGAATTACACTCGGTCCTTGAAGACTGCAAAGTATTAAAATCAAAGGAATCCATTGAACAACACGATGCCTACTCGACCATAATTTCTTATATCGAGAGTCTCATCAATTGTATGAACACTGTTACTCTAAAGCCAACGGTATATATATTTTATACACATTTATATATATATATATATATTTTTTTTTTTATTTTATATAATCCATATATCGCATTAATAAAAAAAAAAAAAAAAAGATTTAACAACTCTTTTTTATACATATAAATAAATTTTATATATATATATATATATATATATATATATATGCATGTATGTATGTATGTATGTATGAATGTATGTATATGTATGTATACTAAACGTATTTGTTTTAGGATAAAAATGATGAAATGAACAGTTCTTATTGGACGGGTAAACAATTGATCGAATTGTTTAAAATGTTCAATATTGATATGTCAAAATGCATAAAAATAATAGATGCCGCACAAATAGCAATATCTGAATTTAATAAAATAAAAGAAAATCTTCGTGTTGTAAAGCATGATAAATTAAATAAATTTAAAACAATTATATCACGAAGTACCAAAATCATTCTTCAACGTTTGATATTCGCATTAAAAATGATCATTTCCGATGAATATGCGAATGATTATCGTGCTTATATAAACGAATCTTTCGTTTCCGATATAAAGTTCAAAGTATGAAAATATTTCTTTCCTTTTTACTTATTATTATCGTTATTATTATTATTATTTTTATTATTGTATATAATTCATGAAAGAAAAAAAAAAAGAAAAGAAAAAAAAAAACAATTTAAAAATATAATCAAAATTCTTTCACTTTTCTCATCTGATCGTCTTCTCTTCTCTTTTTTAAATTCTCTTTCATTTCTTATTTTATCATTTCTTTTCCTTTTTTTTTTTTTTTCTTCTTCTTTTAGTCCACAGACAATTCTTGGACGTCGTCACAAAGAACTGGAAAACGTTTGAGAAGTTTCAAATTGATTTGCATGAATTCTGCTGTAATCTTTGCACCTTTGGCACGTGAAGCAAGATCGATCATATTGGCATCGGGTACCTTGACTCCTATAACTTCTTTCCAAAGCGAACTTGGCACGAAATTCGCTCATACACTTTCTGCCAATCATGTGATCAATAGCGATCAGGTTTATATCACTTGTGTACCAAAGGGACCAACTGGCATACCTCTAAAAGCTAATTATCAAAACGTTAATAGCTGGAATTTTCAAGTAATTTATTAATTTTTCTCTTTTCAATAATTATAAATCCTTTCTTTCTTTCCTTTTTCTTTTTTTTGAGAAGGGCGAGGGTATTTTATTTTTTTTTTGTTTTTTGTTTTTTTAACACAACATTAGAGAACAATCTTGTCTGAAATAAAATAATAAATTACTATAGTAAATTATTTTTCTCGTCAGACAATAAAAATAGTTTCTTATTAATTTTATATAACTTTTGTATAAATTATTTTACATATATTTCTATTCTCATAAGAATAGAAAAATTATTTCGAATATATATATATATATATATATAATATTTTGTTATTATTTAATTATCAATCTAATACGTTTTGATTACTACTTATGCGTACGATTAAACGTTTCTTATATTTAATTAAAAAAAAAAATAAACAAATTTTTGAAACAATTAAATCCACTCGTACATTGTTATTATTTTTTATAATATAATTATATAACTCAACTTAATAATAATAATAATAATAATATTATTATTATTATTTAAAGGATGAACTTGGAAAATTGTTGCTAATCATTTGCCAATCAATACCACACGGAATATTATGCTTCTTTTCGTCGTATTTTATGATGAATAATCAAATAAAAAGATGGAAAAGCAATAATTATTGGGAGGAAATAAAAAGATACAAACGAATCTTCATAGAGCCACGTAATAGTAATGATTTAGGAGAAATGATGAAAGAATATCGAGAGGCTATTGAGGAAACATCTTATGTAAATACAAATATTGAAACGTTGTCAGGTGCAATTTTATTTGCAGTTTTTCGTGGAAAAAATCGCTGAAGGTACTGACTTTAGTGATAACGAGGCACGTTGTGTATTAACAGTAAGTATCCAATGATTATAAACAGAAACAATATTATTATTATTATTATTATTATTATTATTATTATTATTATTATTATTATTATTATTATTTAAAAGAATATATTTAACATTAATTTAGTCGTTGATATTATATAAGCGATTTTTGAGAAAATATATTTTTTCCTTTTTTTGTTTTAGGCCTTTTTTTCTTTTCTCCTTTTTTTTTTGTTTGTTTATTTCTTTTTTTTTTTTTTTTTTTTTTTTTTTTGTTTTCGTCTCGTTACAGAAAAATAATCGTTAAATAATTCACAGCTAAGATATCTTAAAGTGAATAAATATATAACTTAAATCGCTTTTGATAATAATCTGTTCCAATTATTATTTATTATATGTATTATAAATTATGTTTGTTAGATCGGCATACCATATGCTGTAAGAACAGATCCAGAAGTAAATTTGAAATGGATGTACAATGATGAAAATTCTTCTAAGGAATTACTCACGGGATCCGAATGGTATACCGTACAAGCATTTAGAGCTTTGAACCAGGCTATAGGTCGATGTATCAGACATAGAAATGATTGGGGCATTGTTCTCTTAGTAGATGAAAGGTTTCTTTATTATTTATTATTTATTATTTATTATTTATTCTTTTTTTTTTTTTATATTAAAAAATTTTATTTACAAGGATCTTCACAGATTTCAGGCTCCATCTAATATCAGTTATTTACCAAAGTGGGTCAAAAAGATGGTGAGAGATTTTTAATGAACATATTTAGCTTTTATTTATATATGACAAATTGATTTGATCATAATTATTTTCTTCTTTTTTCTTTTTCTTTTTTTTTCTTCTTTTTTTTCTTATTTTTTTCTTTTTCCTTTATAGTGGAGAAGAAATCCAGGTATTAATCTTATCAAAGAACTGGAAAGTTTTGTGATGAAAAGAAAGACTCAAAAAGAAGAAGAAGAAGAAGAAGATACGTAATTAAGATTATTTATGTGATTTTTTTACTTTATAATTCTTTTTTTCCTTTCTTTCTTTCTTTCTTCCTTTCTTTCTTTTTTATACAGTTAAAACTTATCGCTCTTTAAGTAATATTAATTTTACCATTATGAAATATTTTTTATATGATATAGTTAGTTGAATTTATTATGCTTTAACAATATTTTTAAGAACACTTTATTGAACGTTATTTGTATAGAGCATTATTTTCTTATCCATTTGAGAGCTGGTTTTTTATTTTTTTAATTTTTCTTTTCTTCTTTTTTTTTCTTTCTTTTTTTTTCTTTTTAAATTTTTCGATCTTTTTCAATTGTATGTTTTATCATTTGTATCCCTTTTCTCAATCAATCTCAATTGTTTCTTTTTCATTCTCTTTAGTTTGGCAGTATTTTTAATCTGCGAATAACCAAAGCAAGTAATTAAGATAACGTTGTTATTTAATTGATTATTTTAATCGTTCCAAACAAACTTTGAAATGTGTTCCTGATGAAAATAAATATTTAATATTTTTTTAATCAATGATTTTGAGAGTCATAAACATAAAAACTCTTTCGTATGGATTTAAATATTATATTCTACGGTCAATGATATTATTATTATATATTCAGATTAAACTAATCTGTCACTCGAAAAAACACAAAACTTTGAGGTCAACCGGTTTAATAGTTCTTACAGCTTTTTCCTATCTTATCCAGACGTTGCAAACGAGATCGCGAAATCTGACAAAACGATCCGTCTTCGTGAACGAACTGGTAGGACAGTCACGGCATATCCTGCTTTCGATTCCTTGGACGAAAGTTCAAGAATCCATAATTTGCGGGAGTTAATAGATCAATTGAATGGTAATTTTTATATACCTCTTTATGTTATCGTCAGATGAATTTTCTTCAAGTATATCTTCCATTCTAATTATCTTCTCTTCCATTTTATTTTAATTCTTAATAAATTAAAAATTAATTACGAAAATCACGAAGTTCCTTTATTCACGTGTAAACAATATCTTTTTAGGTTAGAAACTCACGTGGGCAAGTTAATAAAAAAAAAATTTTTATATATATATATGTATATACTACTAGCGAAATCTATATGAAAACTGACGAACTAAAATCGACAGATAATACGTGACATATGGTAAATGATCTATATTACCTGTTGTTCACAATTCTGTACAAAAATATAAGACTGAGTCGATAAATGATAATATATTGTATATTTGACATTTTTATAATTAAAAAAAATAATATTGCGATTTTATAACTACATGGAGCTATAATGATAGTCTAATAAATTGAAGTAGTTTAAATAGTTTCATATTCTATGGAATATATTACAAAATATTAATGGGTAGAAATACATTAAGACAAACTAACATATTTAATATTTCATATTAAGTTAAATATTTAATATATTAAGTAATTTAATATAATTACATTGGTATTATAAGAGAAACATAATTAAGGAAACTATGATAGAAATATAAACAGGTCGATAAAACAGATTACCGACTGATATCATTTACCGACCCAATAAAATATTAAACGTCGATATTACATATTTTTTTTATAATTGTGATAAATATAATTGTTTTTTTTTCTTTTTACAAGTTACGAATATATAAAATAATTCATTAATTAAAATTAACAAACATATTCTATTCGAAATTAACACATTCTCCATCTTATAATATCTTAAAAATATATAATCTTTGATATTACTTATATACTACAATGTAATAATTATCACTATTAATTAATATAAAATATTTATAAGAAACTATATATATATATATATTTAATATTTTATTACTAATAATTATTAATTAATTATTACTTATATATATATATATATAAAAGAGACTATTAATAGTATCGTTATGATAATAATATATCGATAAAATGTCATGCAATACGAATTATTTGCAATATAATAAAAAAAAAAAAAAGAAAAAAAAGGAAGCAAAAATTTATTTAAAAACATGCACGTATCGAGTGTAAAATAGATATGTATTAATATTATTATAGAGTCTCTGGTATTCAATCGAATTCAAAATAAATCCATATATAAATATATATACACATATACATATATATATACATATATATATATATATATATATATATATATATATATATTTATTTATATATGTTTATATATATAAATCCGCACTGGTCATACCTCATAAAATTCCATAAAGCAAAAAGGACAAGTGATATGAATAAAACGCAATAATCATCGCGAGTTTCCCATCGTGATCATTAATTTTAATTGATCCATTTTCTTCTTTCTTCTTCTTCTTTTTTTTTTCTTTCTTTCTTTAACCACCACCATCACCACCACCACCATCACTCGAATTGTTCTTTCGCTGTATTCATATATTCATATTCAGTGGCATCAATGGCACGTATTTATCACTTGGCCGAAATTTGTACTCCGAGCATAATCTATTTGACACCGCTTCGGCATAACCATTTCTGTGGAAAAAACAAACAAAAAAAAAAGAAAAAAAAAAGAAAAGAAAAAAAGAAAATAATATAATTATTATAACGATAAAACAATTTATCAATGATTTTTTTTTTTATGGAGAACACAAGACAAATGTTAGTATAAAAGAAAGAAAAATAATTAACATTAAAATGGTTAGTATCGTCAGTATACCACTCATCACCACCACCATCACCATTGTTATTATCTCCATCTTTCTCTGTTATCAATGAATTAATAAACGTAGCAAATGTGTTAATAAGAAAGAAGGAAAAAGAGAAAAAAAAAATAAAAAAACCAATAAAGATTGATACTTCTATTAAATGTCACTCTTCAATGATCTTGAAAATAATTCAAGAAATTCTTCTGGATATCTTGTAACCCAGCAAGAAAATCCCTGATGAGCTTTGAAAGTGGTGTCTGGTATAAAAACTTATCACTTTTTCCAATTTCCTTATGCTTGTCAAAATTTAACGGCTCGTAACTCGCCAGTTCTTTCCAATACGGAATACATTTCTCGTAGGATCTATAATACGTTGATGTGAAAAAATAAAAAAAAAAAAAAAAATAAAAAAAAATTAACTAATTAACCTAATATCTTAACGTTAACAATGCAATGGATGTGCGGTCAAAAGTCCTTGAGTGATTTAAAAAAAAAAAATCAATTACTCTATATTACTGATTTCTATAGGGCTGATTTTTTTTCTTTTCTTTTTTTTTTTTTTTTTTTTTTTGTAAATCGTAAAATTACAAACGCCCAATTACGGGTCTAAATAGAAAGACTCGAAAGGTATTAATTGATTTTTACGAACAAAAGCTGGGCGACTGTTTCTCATAATTAATTGAAAAAAAAAGAATGAAGAAGAAAAGAAAAGAAAAGAAAAAAAAAAAGAAAAAAAAAAAGAAAAAAACAATACAGTAAAAAAAAAATATTAAGAATAAAAATAATTACATATACCTTTGCCATTCTGAGCACGGTCGTCTTTCCTTCAAACAAATTACTTGTATAATATTGAAGTAAAGTGCACCGATAGTGTTGGCAACCTCAGTATTAAGATTTTGTAAACATCTTCGAAACTTTGCGTCACAGTCACAATGCATACGTATGATAGGTGAATAGTTACATATACTATGGATACATTTTTGCGGTTTTAACGTTATTGGACAATGATCGTGTTCCCTGCAACATGCATCTTCTGCCGTATGATGACCTAAATCATCGTAAGATGTTGCATGGTTTCCTGGTCCGCACCATTTCGTTCCAGGATATACCAATCCAACTGCTGGCGTTTGATTCTAATCATCAAAAAAAATATATTACAGATTAATTTTTAATTAAAGATTATATATATATATATATATATATACATAATTAGATAATGAATTATTAATATAAAAATAAATAGATGAATGAATTTTAATAGAACAATAAATAAATTTAAATTGGATCAAATTTTTAATACGAAATAAATTAAGGAAAAATTTTAATAATTAAAAATTTTTTAATAAATAAATAACATCGACTCACCCTCCCCCCCACTCTCTCTCTCTCTCTTTGTTTATTTCCTTCTTTATTTTATTTGTTTTGCATTTTTTTATGTTTAAAAATAAGTTCTTATTCTTGACGATTTAACATATATGCGATAAGAAATATGTCGCATTATAATAAATAGAAGGAAACAAAAAAAAAAGAAAAAAGAAAAGAAAAAAAAGGAGAAGGTCATAACAAATAGATTTATGGTTAAACGTTCGTAATATTTTTTTTTACGATCTAACATTCGATATCCTTTTGCACGATATAACAATAAAATTTGAAGCTTCAAGTGAACGATTATTTGTCGTTTTTTTTCTCTCCTTGCTTTTATATGTATATATATATATATCTTTCAAACAGGTTTTTTAAAGTTGGACTACTTTCCTTTTTCTTTTCTTTTTTTTTTTCTTTCTTTCTTTCTTTCTTTTTCTTCCTTTCGATTTTTCGTCGGACATAATTGATTACGTTTACCTTAAAAGTCAAACAAGTCTCTTCGAGATCGGCAACGAGATTGCTTGGCATATGTCGAACTTTTTTCGGATCTGCACCAAATATCATTTTCTGAATGATACCACGATCATTGTAAATAGAACATATTGGTTCGCCGGCATTTAATTCTACCATTTTGGACATCGTTGTATCGGCAACAAGGACGCTTGCCATTGTATTCTGAATCCATAGAATCGAAAAAGTCCAGAAGAACAATGAGGTCAACATCTGCAAGAAAACAATTTCAATGGTTGATTATTAAATAATTAATTTTTTACGCCACGAAAAATGTTACTTCGTATAAAATACTAATGGAGTAAGAAAGTTTCTTTTCTCTCGCGCGAAATTTTATATCAAAAAAAAAAAAAAGAAATTATATAGTAAAAGTTCAAGAATTAAATAAACAATTGTGTAACAAGGAAAAAATGACGACTATGATGAAATTTTTATTGTGAAATTTGCATTGAAATACAGTAATATATTTAAAAATGTATTAAAGGAATCTTAAAAAAAAAAAAAAAAAAAAAAATCACCAATAATATCCATATATGTATATACATATTATATATATATATATATATATATATATATATATATATATATGCATGTACGTATGTATGTATATGAAAAAAAAAAGAAATGTCTTCTATGAAATATTGAAAAATGATGAAGCAATACAAAATTCTCAGAGAATATTGTAAAAGAATTATTTTCATTTTATATATTTGACGATGGTAATTGCACGTTCGTGAGGGTCAGAATCAAAGAGATTGTTCAGCACGTATCCCGGTCACTTTAACGAGTCATTTGAGGGGTAGATCGATTAAATGTCGACTAGCCTGATATTAACCACTATTATTTATTTTTCTTCTTTCCGACCGGGTCAAACTCATCGTCCCCAATAACGATACTTTTATCCACAAGCTTTATGCGATCTTTTAATATCTTCCTCCCTCCCCCTCCCTCCCTCCCCCCCCCCCCACCCTCTCCCACTTCCCCATTTTTTCACAATTTTTCTTCATATATTATCATTTGTCATTAAAAGGAATCAACGTGGAATCATTTGTCCATAGATCCTTTGTTTTTTTCTTTCTTTTCTTTTCTTTCCCCTTTTTTCTTTTTCTTTCTTTTCTTTCCTTTTCTTTTCTTTTCTTTTTTTCTCATAAATTTTCACCAAATAATCTCTAATGTTAATTTAAATGTTCAAATGTAAAAAACAAAACGATGAAATAAATACCACGAAGAACGACCACGATGACTATGTATATTACGTACTTAGAGAATCGTGAGATCGATATTGTCTATGTATTTTACAAGGTCAGATTATAAAAATCACTTAATAACCATCATAGATAAGAAAAGATAGAGAGAATTATTACACCTGAAAGGCCGCGAATGATTACTTAATATTCGGATTCTGTATTGTATCCCGAAGGAAAAAAGTAAAAGAAAAGAAAAGGAAAAAAAAAGAAAAAAAAAAAAAGAAAGATACATAGATATAGAAAATAATCTTAAAATTCATTCCCAAGGTTTACAAGTAATGATCATTCATTCTTTCTCTTTTTTTCTCTCTGTCCTTTTTTGTACATAAGAAAGAAAAAAAAAGAAAAGATTATGAAAGAGTTTAAAAATATAAATTATCTTTAAATTGTAGGTCAAGATCGAAGAAGAATTCCGACACTGAACATTTCACTTCGATTTCATCCGATAACATATATAGTCTTGCTCATCAGACCTGTTCTTGTTTTTTTGTTTTTTTGTTTTTTTCTTTCTTTTTTTCTTTTTCTTTTTTACCTTTTTTTATTCACTTTTGAAGTTAAAAAATAATAACAACATGTATGCTTATCAATTGTGATAATTCGATATGGAAATGAATTAATATAAAATTAATAATAGTCTAAAAGAGATTGATTGAAAATGATCTCTTCGTTTTGTTTTGTTCCTTTTTTTTTTTTTGTTTGTTTGTTCGTTTGTTTATTTATTTATTTATTCGTATATTTTTTTTCGCGACGGCTAATTCTCTTAGATTATTATGGAAATTAAATGAACAAAAATGAGATCGTAAAAGTTCGTAACAAAAATTGAAAAAAATACTTTTTTTTTTTTCTTTTTTTTTTTCTTTTTTTCGATTTACTTACACATTTCAGAACAATTAAATGTCAAATTGTTATTACGAAAATAAATTAAACAATATGATTGTGAAAAATTAATCGATGAACTAATGAATCTTATTAATGATTGATATCGAAAATTATTCTAAAGACATTGAAAAATTTTTCAATCAATTTCAAAGCATAACTTTCGTCGATTTCCTTCAACGAAGGTCATAGACATTCTAATACAACAACGATGACCATATTTGCGTTCTCCGAGGATGATTATAGTGAAGAAGAATTTAATTATAAAGAAGAAGAAGAAAAAAAAAAAGAAGAGAAAAGTAAAGAAATAAAAAATAAATATATATATATATATATTTACATAATACAATTTATAAATTATTCCTTTTCGTGTTATTAAAATTTTGTTAAGATATTAATTATATGAATATTATAATTTTCAATATATTTTTTTTCTTTTTCAAATCTTTACTTTTATGGAATTTTTCTTTTCTTTCTTTTTTTTCTTTTTTTTTTTTTTTCTTCAAATAATAATATTTCATCGGAAAAAAAAAAAAAAAAATAAAGTAATACAATTAATCATCGTCGAATTTAAAATATTGAAATCGTTCGGTAGGGTCACTTGATATAAAAATTACTCTCGATATTGACCCTGTTAAACGTGACTACGATTGAATCGTCCTAATTCGATTGACTGATCCTGAAATCACTATATTGAAACGGGAACATCGTTGATATTGTATTAACTATTACGAGAAATGTGGGTCACACTATCAACTCTTATTGACGAACTTGTGCCTTGAACCTGGACGAACTAATCGATTATTATGAGAAAAATAATGCCGATGAATAATGATAGATAATAATGATAAATCGATGTTTGTCAATAATAAAGAATGATGATCGATGATGATCGATGATTATTGTTAAACAATAATTTAAAAAAAGGATATATATATATATATTATTGTGAAATATTATTGTGAAATAAGAATTAATTTTATAAAATATCTAAATATATAAAAATGTTAAATATGTTGATTTAAATATATCTTCATTCTTAAAGCAAGAAACTTTATAAAACGATACGCAAATCGATAGGCAAAGTCTAATCTTCTGTTTTTCGCTGGAGGTCACTGAAAACACATGTAAATTGAACTCAAATCGATAATACGATATGAAATGTTAACTTTCTTCTCTAAAGTTTTTTTAATGTCATCGATTCGACGTTTCGCCTCGACAAAAGATTGTACAAACGTATCAATGATAATGCACGACAATACTTAAACAAAAACAAAAAAAAACAAAAAGACAAATAGAAATAAAAATAAAAACAAAAAGTTGATAGTGAGACGAAAATGCAAAAAAAAAAAAAAAAATTGATCGTAAAAATAATAATTAAATGACATGAGAATAATTTAAAAGTGAAGACGAGTTTTAAATTAATAACAATGAAGTAATTAATAATATAATAAAAATATATACGGATAAAGTCGTAATAATAAAAAACAATAAAAAAAAAAAAATTAAAAAAATTAAAAAAATGAAAATAAAAGAAATTAATAAAATTCGGAATAATTCAAAGAAATAAAAAACTTTTGAAATATCAAACCTCTACTCATTCTAATTATTTTCTATCTATCCTTTCAACTGATTCAACTGATTCTACATTAATTTGTTATTATTAACATTCCTCTTTCTCTCTCTCTCTCTCTCTCTCTCTCTTTCTCTTTCCAATCCCTTAAAATCCCCAAATTAAATTTTAATAAAATAAATACATTTGTTTTTATAAATTACGTATTATTGAATTTTGACATGTGATTATGAATAGAATTTATTAATTTTTTTTTCTAAATTTTTATTTAAATAAAATTACCTCTTAAAAATTGAGATAACAATAGCTTATTAATTAATTGATATTAAAGAGAGAAAGAGAGAGAGAGAAAGAGAGAGTGAGAGAAAACTGATTGACTCAAAAAAATCGTATAAATCAAAATGTCATAAGGTTTGGAAAAGGAGCTGAGAGATACAATATACGTAGGTGGATAAAAACTGACCTGCGCAACCCTTAAAAGTACTAGGGTAGTGGTGCAGTGCGCAATAATCAGTCTAACAGTCATACGTACATTGTACACTATGTCTCTCATTTAATATTCTAATTTATCATCAATAATTAAGTATCACCAATAATAATAATAATAATAATAATAATAATAATAATAATAATAATAATAATAATAATAATAATAATAATAATAATAATAATGATGATGATAATAATAAATCTCGTTCCATACAAAATCGTCAAAAGAAAACTTCATTACAAATACATCTTACGAAATAGTAGAAAAAAAAAAGAAAAAAAAGGGAAAAAAAAGAAAATCTGGCGTTAACAAAAAAAAATACTTACAAAATAATATCCAACGTGTTATTAATTAATAATCATCAGTCATTTATTTAATTGAATAATTCTATGAAGTGTTCAACGTGTTCAACGATTAATAAAATGAACAAAAAGGAAAAAAAAAAAAAGAAAAAAAGAATCTCATTCCAATATAATTAACATACAGTCGTTAGACACAGGACATAAATTTTGTTACCATATACATGTGTATACAAAAGTACGAAATAAAAGTGTCTAATTTAAAAAAAAAAAAAAAAAAAACAAAAAAGAAAAAAGAAAAAAGAACAATTAAAAAAATGAAACAAACGATCATACTAATAAAACTGACACATACGTAATTATTATTATTAAATCATACATCATCTGTTGACAATGTGTGCAAAAAAAAAAAAAAAAAAAAAAACAATTCTTGTTGGAATTGTTTCTAGAGAAAGGAAAAAAAAAGAAAAAAAAGAGAGAAAAACAAAAACAAAAACAAAACAAAGGATTATTCGAATCGAATCAAGATACAATTAATTTACGTTTTTATTAATGTTAATTAATGTTCCTTTGAAAAACTGTATCAATATCAGGTGAGAAGTGTTCGATCTTCTTGTTTTGCCTTTTCCTTTTGTTTTTTTTTTTCTTTCTTTTTTTTTTCTTTTTTGTTTTCTCTACGACTCACGTTAACTTCAATAAATCAAGTTGTCCACTTCGAAATTATTTTCCTTCCGCAAGAGCACGAAAAATTTCTGTTAGTCACTCTTCAGCGGTTGCTAACGGACTGATCCGTACGTTCGAACGTCAGGATACTAATATTCGTGAACAGCACATATCGCACGTATTAGGGGAGTTTAATCACGTGACGAATGTTTATAAGCATCTATAACATTGCAAATAGGCGTGATTTGACATTTAAAGTTCATATAATCGATTGATAAAGATAATATATCATATTTTTTCTAAACAAATTATTTTCTGACTTTTACGAAACACTAAGGAAGAAAAAGAGAGGGGGAGAGAAAGAGAGAGAGAGAGAGAGAGAGAGAGAGAAAACAAGAGAGAGAGAGAGAGAGAGAGAGAGAGAGAGAGAGAGAGAGAGAGAGAGAGAGAGAGAGTTTACTTCAACGAGATATTTTTCTTATCATTTTTTTGTTCATTGAACAAAATGTGAACAATTTTTTTCTCATTGACTAATCTGACACTGTGAACACTAATTTTTTTTTCATTTAATTTACTCTACAACAAGTTAGATTAAAAAAGATTTCCATTGAAATCTTTAATATTAAATCGATTAGTTGGACACACATATATATATATATATATAAATAACACGATAATATTATTTTGTGTTTAAAATATTATTATTTTTGTTTATATATCCTACGAGAAGATACATCTCAATGTTGATATTTCTAATCTACTTAATCTGATATTACGCTTATATATTTTCTTACAAAATTGAAATTACAAGCACGTACCATCTTGACACGTCTTTTCTTTTTTTTTTCTTTCTTTCTTTCTTTCATTCTTTCTTTCTTTTTCTTTTCGTGTCTTATTTCTTTTATATTGATATATAAGAAGCATAGAAAAAACAAAAAAAAAAAAATCAAAAAAAAAAAAAAAAAAGAAATGAAAAATGAAAAAAAGAATAGAAATTTACTAATATCATTTCTTTTCTTTTTCTTTTTTCAACTTAACAATCATTTCTAACATTTTTATGGAATCCATTCGACTTCGTTAGTCTCGTATTTTCCAGAATCTCTTATAACTGGTATAACTCTATGCGTATCCTCTGGTTTCGATGTTGTACTTTCCTCAGTACCAGTTATCTTATGATAAACTTTGCTACCAGCATGTGCAACCCATTGTACACCATCGCCAAGCTTTTCGCCAGCTTTACGTACGGCACTGCCCAAGCTTTCAGCGGTGAAAGTATTAGGATCGATATTTATATCAAGGGTATCATTATCCCGTGGACAACCATTCTGAGAAATAATACTAAGATCATAAGGATCTATTCCGTAACCTGACAATTGTCCTTTTATCCTATCGATAATACTCTTGTCAAGATCACGACGTCTTGAAAGTATAGTTGCACTTTGTCGATGGGCAAAAGCTAATTTTTGACAAGTGAATATCCCAGCATAGTTGTCATAATCTGTAGTAAAGATTATGTGAGATGCCGTACCTGCTACACCTACAAGAAGAAAACAAAAAGGAAAATAAAAAAAATTATTTCAATATTTACTTTTAAATCTTTTCAATTAATCAGATTTATTTATATATATATATTTTTTCTTTTTTTTTTAATATAATGTTTTCCTTATCTAATAATCCCTTAATTTCATTTACTTACTAAGAGGGAAGTTAACTTGCATTCGAGCTGGAGTACTAAGTTCTGGTACACTCAATTCACCGGTATAGTGATACTCATGTTTCAGTGGTGTAAGACCTGTATAGAAAGACAAAGAGAGAGAGAAGAGAGAGAGAGATCACACAATTACGGATAATTCATCCCACTTGAAAAACATTTATCCTATTGACATGCTTTTATCAAACCGACTAGGGTCCACGTATTATTCTTATTTTTTAATCTATAAAAACTTTTCCAATAATGTTAAATATAACTATAAAATACTATATTTATATATGTTGTTATAATGAATATAAGAATCATCTAAATTTTCTAATAAGGAGACCACTAATGTTGAATATAATTATTGGTATATATATATATATATATATATATATATATATATATATATTATAGTAAATATAATGATTAAACTCACCTAATATAGGATGATCAGAATCTTGAGTTATCAAGTATTCTCCTGGTTCTTCGCCACGAGTATAATTGTAAGAAATGCATCTACTTGCCGTAGATGTTTTCTGAATGACATACCATACACCTAGAAACTACAATTTCATATAATTAATATTTCTGATATGTCACAGTGATTAAAGAGTGTCTTTTAACAATCAGTATCATTACCTTGTTCATTTGAAATCCATGCATAGGCTCTACTATGGGACAACTACCCATGTGATAAGTATGAGCTTTAGCAAGTGTTAAAAACCCTGCTAGGGCAATATAGAATAGGATCGAGAGCATCTTCTGAAAATAAAATGTAGTGAACAAATTAGGAAAAAGAAAAAAAAAAGAAAACAATAATATCATCTCTTAAAAGTAAACAAATAAATTTCTATTTTTTTTTAGAAAGTACTGTTAAATTCTCATCAAGTTTCTATTGAAATCATATATGCGGGTAGAGTAATAGAAATTAAAAGATAACAAATAAAAGATAATAGGGAATTGTTTATATATAAAAAAAAAAAATCCTATATTAATTGAAATATGTTTACACTACATAACAAAGCAATACTACCGATGATTCGATGATATCCGAGCTTACATTAAACACGATGATTCACTCGACCTTGGACACGCATCGAAGAGCAAAGACCTCTGATTTACGCTTCTAACTATGTTTTCTTCCTTTTTGATAGACGTGAATTTTTTAAAACAGTGAAAAAAAATTTACATGCGATTATGATCGACTTTTCCTCGACCTATTTGATCTTTCCTCTTTTAATAGAAAAATTGACTACAAGAATATCTATTATATATGTACATATACATATATATAAAATGATATATATATATATATATATATATATATATATATATATCATTTTAAATGAAAATTTATATTTTGTTGAAAGCACAATCTACGTTGTTTTATTGTAAACAATATTAATGTTACTTTGTTCTTCGGTTGTCTTAATTAAAAAAAAAAAAAATTATTTGTTAAAAAACAATTGTACAATACAAATATTATGAAAATTTCATTGTTTTTACAATCATATCTTGACTGAAGTCAAAATAAATGTAAATATAAAAGTTATTATAAATGAAATAATTACTTTAATAAATATAATATTTAATTAATTATTATTTATATTGTATAAGTATTAATTGAAAAATATAGGAGAGAGAGAGAGAGAGAGAGAGAGAGAGAGAGAGAGAGAGAGAGAGAGATAGAGGGAAAGAGAAATATAATGCAAGAGACTCACCGTCTAAACGTCTATCCTTAGTTCTGAACGCAAACTGTAAACAGTTTATTCGAGGCTTCACTTTATGTGCTAGAGATCTCCCCACTCTCTCTCTCTCTCTCTGATATTCAATTATACGTCATGCAAACGTTAAATCAGTAGTATGCAGGAGAGAGCAAATGATGATACGGTTCCTTTCCTATCCCTAGATAAATAAATTCCTGTGAATAATAAAGTCAGATTAAAGGAAAAAAAAAAAAAAAAAAAAAAAAGAAGAAGAATAAAAAGGAAAAGAAAAAAAAAAGAAAAGAAAAACATATTTTACAAGAAATTTTATAAAACAAAAAATAATTGTTAATAATTTTACATCATTATAATTATTATTATTATTATTATTATTATTATTATTATTATTATTATTATTATTATTTAATTTCACTTAATAATTTACCATGTCGTTGTTTATAAATATCCACAAGTCGTTAATTAATTCCATCAATTAAATTTGACACTGGATTTCTTCATTTATAATCTGCAAACTCTTACAAATTTGTTAAATTAAACATTTTTTTTTCTTCTTTTTTTTTTTATGTAACGTCATTTTACAAGAACGAAAAAATATTTTTTATATTATATAAAAATGTAATTAAATGTTTTACTATTTGTAACAGGGATCCAAATATTGTTGTTACATTGTTGCTCGTGATGACGCATCTTAGTCGACATATAAGTGAAATTATTATAGGGAGTATGGTTCTAAGAACTGGTAATACTCTATATGGCTTCCATTCCTTCCTCTAAATAATATAATATGATTTTGTTGAAAGGTTAAAACATTGTTAATTCTTTGAGAACTGAGTCATAATTAACACAATACCTTTATACCAGAGATACATAGTTCAATCATACTTCAATGATTATTTTGTATGAATGAAAGAAAGGCCTTGTGTATAAAAAAAAATTGTCCTGTATTTGCAAAATAATTTACAAATATTATGTTATTCTAAAGAATATACATATGTAATATTTATCGAGAGTTTTTCTTTACATTTTTTCTTTCCGTTCCCAAAAATGATTATTATCTTATTTACTTAATAAATCATTAAATTTATCCGTTCGCATTCATATCTTTCTTCACACATTAGATATCAGAGTATAGTAAAATAAAATAAAAAAAAAAAAAAAATAATAAAAAAAAAAAAAAATAAAGAAAAAAAAAGAGAGAGAACACTTAATTAATATAAATTATAAATGAGATTATTTCATGAATAATATTGTACTAAAAATGTTTAAGTATAATTTTAAAGGAGTTCTTAGTTGTCAATATAGATACAAAATATTATAATAGTATCATGTAATCATTACATCGAAATTGTCTTGATTTATAATTGTGATATATAGTACACACATTGGAAGATGTAAGTGTACTCAAACACTAAATAATAAATTTCGACAAATTACTTAATATATAATATAATTAACTTTAGTATGTAATGAGCATATAGTCATATCCATCAACTAAAGGAATGTTCGCACTCAAATAACTTAACTCACATCCCTCCACTATCCTAAGATATTTTTTTTTTTTTTTCATATTGTCGCACGATTAAAATGTCATAAAGAAACACAACGAACGTATCTTTGTTTGTTTGTTTGTTTGTTTGTTTTTTGTTCTTTCCTTTTTCCCCTTTCTCATTATGCAGATGGTAACTTTCTAATATCCAAATCTTGGAAATAAGGATGTTTCAAAGCTGCCCTTGCTGTTATTCTATGAACGGGATCATAAATAAGCATTGCCTGCAATAGATCAAGTCCATCCGCGTCAAGATTCTTTACTTGGGCTTCTAGATTGTTTGTTACCCAGTTTGGAAATGTTGTTTTATAATCATTTAATTGTGTGACACCAGGCCATATTTCTTCTGTAGGCGTTCTTAAAATCCTATTTAAATTTCATTAGAAAATATATTTATAATATTGTTTATTTTAAATGTGATTGGAAAAAAAAAAAAAAAAAAAAAAAGAAAAGAAAAAAAGAATATTCATCTTACCGAAATATTCTAAACAATTGATCGATTTCACTGTCTCCTTGAAACAATGGCTTCTTCGTTGCCATTTCAGCAAAAATACAGCCAACACTCCACATATCTATGGCGCAAGAATATCTACTAGCTCCAAGAAGAATTTCTGGTGCTCTATACCATAAAGTAACAACCTCGTGTGTGTAAACTCTGACTGGAATTCCAAATGCTCTTCCTAATCCAAAATCTGCTACTTTGATAACTCCTTTTGCACCAATTAATAAATTTTGTGGCTTCAAGTCACGATGTAATACTCTACGTTTATGACAGAACAGAATTGCTCGTGTTATCTGAAAGAAAGATGAGGTAAACAATATATATATATTTGTTTAATTGTCATTGTTACTTTATGGTTTATATACTAACTTGATATAAATAGGACTTGACTGTTTTAGGTTCTATCATTATACCATTTCCCAAACTGTCCATATATTTTTTTAAATCCATAGTAAGGTACTCAAATATAAGATACAATCTAGATTCTTCCATGAGAACGTCGACCAAGCTAACGATATTTGGGTGTTTCAACTCCTTAAGAATAGAAATCTCTCTGATTGCAGTCGATGGTACACCTTCGTCATCGCTTTCTAAGCGAATCTTTTTCATGGCTACAATTTCACCAGTCTTTTTGTGTTTACCTTTATACACAACACCATATGTACCTATAATATCATAAATGAAAACTTTGTTAAATACTTTTTTTTTCTTCTTATATAAATAATAATGATTTACGTAAAAATAATTAAATATCAAAATTTCTTCATAAATTATTATACGCGTATAATGTACACTGATAATATAATAAATATGTAATATAATTTAATACACAAACACAAATATATTTATCACAAATGTTTGAAATAACCTTTAACACAAACTAAATTTATACTTTACATAAGTCATATAAAAGTTGAAAATAAGAAAAAGGATAAATTATAAAATGTATGAATATAATTAAAACTTATTGATAAATAAATCGTTAAAAGAGCTAACAAACTTTTTATAAAATTGTATAAAATATAACAAAAATTAGACGCTTTACCTTCACCAATTTTTTCAATCTTAACAAAATTATCCATGATCTTAAAATGAATAAGAATCGAGAATGTCTTAAAGCTCTATTCCTATAATATTTATCCTTAATATAAATCACAATAAGCTAAATAGAAGAGCATAAAAAAAAAACTTATTTCACATGTCCTACAACTTTCTGTGTGTTGTCACGTAACGTTCAAATTCAAACGTCGGTACGCCATATTGTTAAATACATTTAGAAAGTAACTCGGTCTCTTCCGTATGACATCGGACATTGGATCGACCAATCAGAAGAGGCGTTGCATTTTTATTATTTTTTATAACCCGCCAAATATTATGCAATTGTTTCTTTCAATATAAAAAAAAAAAAAAAAAAAAAAAGAAAAAAAAAGAAAAATCGCAATCTACATAAGCACCTTACTTTTTAAGTAAACTTTATAATAAAATTAAAAAACAATGAAAGAATTAATAAAAAGCAATAACTCGAACATAACCACAAAATTGAAAATATATATATAGTATTTTAACAATCTTATATTTTTATTAAAAAAAATGCATATATATATATATAAATGGAAATGAAAATTACATAATAGAATCTGCTTTATTACATACACATCATACAGGTTTGATTAATTTATTTCAAAATGTAAACATAATCAATACAATTGCTGAACGCTGCCAGTTAAAAAAAAAAAAAGAAATTAAAAAAAAAAAGGAAAGGATTAAAAAATCTACATATTTGTTTCAACAATTTCTTCGAACAAGTTATTTCTTTTTACATCTGTATTTCCTGTACATATTTAATAAAGAAGTTAAAAGAAAATAATAATATTACTGATAAATTTTTTATATAAGTCTACTCGTTAATATTGTAATGCTCTTAGATTTTTATCTCTTTACGAATGCACTGAAACAACTTATATTTATTCTTGAGACTACGATATAAGTTCTTATGAAAATTTTATGACACAAGTTCGAACAGAACACTATTTTTTTTTTTCTTTTTCATTTTTTAATCTCGTTTTGATAACTTACAAATATTTCTATATTATAATACAGTTTACCTAGTTTCATCTTTTTCTTTTTTTTTCTGAGAATTTCAATTTCTTTCATTAAGTAAATATTAATAATAATAATTTTTATAATAATAATAATAATAATAATAATAATAATAATAATAATAATAATAATAATAATTTATCGTGGAAATTGATAACCACCGGTGGTGTATCCTAGTCCTACACCACGTTGAGTGTGTGTAGTAGCACGTGCTACTTCATATTGTTGTTCCATATTATTAAACATTTCTTCCTGTTTCTTCAAAATATCAGGCTTCGCGCCTGCAATTGGTGTGTTAGGTAAATCTCCTTTTATACCCATCAGTCTCTTAAATTTCGCAGTTACTTTCCCATCTTGATCATGGGTAAATGTTGTACCCATCCATGTGTTCACTGTAGTAGCTGTATTGGAACTACCTTTACCTTCTTCTTGTTTCGACTGTGCGTTAATAAAAGAAATAAAGTATATATATATATATATATATATATATATATATATATATATATATATATATATATATATATATAACACATATATATATGTGTTTGATCGCATATATATATATATATATATATATATATATATATATATATATATATTTGATCGCATGATGATAAATATAAGTGAATAAAAAAAAAAAAAAAAAAAAAAAAAGAATATACATACATATATATATATATATATATATATATATATATATATATATATATATATATATATATATATATATATATATATGAGATAAAACCAATAATGATTAATATAACAAATAATTCTAATATTAGAATAAATGATGAAAATGATAAAATTTGTTCACCTTATTAGCCCATAATAATTTCCTCTTTTGAATTTGTTCTGCATATTTCCCTTGAGTAGCAGTGGTCAATGGATTATAATAATTTTGTTCGCTTTGAATTCCCAAAGTTACAGTATCACCTTCTGGTGCTTTCAATTCGATTCCTAATTTTTCTAATTGTGCCAATTTATTTCTTCCCTTTTCCTCTCTATAACTCATTGTTCTAAAGGGTGGTGGGGCACGGTCCCTTGATCTTGATCTTGATCTTGTACGATCCTTTTCTTTATGATAATTCGATCTTTCTTCCCGATGTCGATCCCTAGATCTTTCGTCCCTAGAATGACGACGTTCTCTTTCTCTTTCTCTGTCTCTACGTCTATCTCTGTCGTTTCTATCACCTCGAGTTCGATCCCTTCGGCTATCGTCACGATAATGATGATCTTTCTCATTCTTTTCTTTCTCATCGGTTTTCTCTTTACGTTTATCCTCGTCACGTGATTTTTTCTCATCGTCCTTACTTCTTTTCTCCTTAGTATCTTTATTATGAGTATTATTATCACCACGCTGTTTTCTATCATCGTATGATGATCGACGATTTTTTTCACTGGCGTTATGCTTGTTACGGTCAGATCGGTCACTCCTTTTATGCTCATCCTTTGTATTTACCGTATTGCTTTCATTATCGGATCTCCTGTAAAACGATTACGTTCTGCAGGGGTATACCACACAGATTCGTATTATTATTCTGTATGAAGTGGGTTTATTAAGATTTTACTAAACTAAGCACACACATATATGCTCAGTGATTAAAAATTTTTTTTTCTTTCTTTCTCTTTTTTTCTTTTTTTTTCTTTTCTTTTTTTTTTTTTTTCTTTTTTTTAAATCGACATTATGATAAAATAAAACGCGTTAAAAAGTAAAGTTGACAATAATCATATACAAACCAGCTCACCTCTGGTCTGAAGGAGATGATGAAATTCTAGACGAGTCTGTTTTTGAACCTAGTGCTGAGGGCATTGCCGCAGGACTATGAGCACGTTCACTGCCAGACTCTCCAGAAGAGTTATTGTTGTTGCTTTCCTAAAGAAATAAAAATTGTTCGTTTTAACACATTAGATTTCTATATATAAAGTTATTACATTAAAAAAAAAAAAGAAAAAAAAAAAAAAAAAAGAAAAAAGAAAAGAAAAAAAAAAAGAAAAAAAAAAAAAGACTTTTCAATGGAGAATTATAAATAATTTTATGCAGTTATTAAACTAAAATTACATTATCCTCATTGCAGATGTATCTCACATATAAATAATTATTTGTATATCACTTAAATTTCTAAAAAGAAGAAACATAATGTTTCTATTTAATATAGAATTTAATAATGGGATACAGTTCTTAATATTATTATTTATAACGAGGAAGAATGTACCTAAGATCAATAATTGCAAATGGGCTTCTTTATAACGCATATGAATTTTATATTGCGATACTTCTCTTATTGTCACGACGTTTTTATATAATAATTAATAGCTATGAACAAATAATAAATCATACGATTTTGTCTATTCTTCTATGACAAAGAAAAAAGGAACTTTCTTTCTTATATCCTTGGTTGTACTTGATACAAAGTTTTCGTGATGCAGAAGATTTACGCATCAGTTACTTTGATTACATAATCCAATTTTTCTGTTAATTGCCGGTAGGTATATAAAACCAACATGAAACAACCACATTACAAAAGAGAGAGGTAAAGATATTACATATATCCTCCATCCATACATACATATATACATATATATAAATATATATATATATGTATGTATGCAAAATGTTTTATATATATATATATATACATATATGTCTCAGCATTTATTTATTGCCTGAAGTACTTTACACGTGTGGTGTTCTTTGATGGTTGGTGTTTTGTTAGTGTTACCTTCTGCCAGCTTCCTCTACTCACCTCTGTCTTCTGAATAGGACTTGGGGGTAGTCTTGAAAGACCCTCACACAGCATAGACCTTGCCGAGGTGCGTAGATATTGTATCATGTATTACCAACAGAGCTACGTGTTAATATTTTCTCACGAAATGGTACTATTCCCATTTACTTATCATTTAAACTTTTAAATATCAATTATAGTCTGATCATTCCTTTCAACGAAAAGGTTTTAAGATCACGTCTTACAAATTGTAACTTTTGATAATATTGAAACGTATAAATCCGTAATAAAGTATTTAAAAAAAGAAAAAAAAAAAAAAAAAAAAAGAAACAAAATAAATAAATAAATAAATAAAAGAAGTTAGGTCTTATGACATTATTATGAAATGACAACTGAATATAATTAAACTTAAGAGAACATGGAGAAACAAAAAAAAAAAAACGTAATAACAATGAGAGAACTCAAAATTACTAAACGAGTAATCATATCCATTATTAATTAATTTTCGTTTAATAGACCATCTTGTTCAACGTGACCTCATAATACCAAATACCAGACTGTTCGCGTATCAGTCCTAAAACCCTGTCACGCACATACTGTCCCTACATAGCCATCATTGTATCTTCCCAGTCCAAATGTTTCGAACTTAAAATTAAACAGATGTGTTTGGAAACATCTCTTTTAATCATACCTCACTCATGTCCATTTGTACTGGGTCATAGTTGGCATCACTAGCCCTTCTGTTTCTTACATCTTGTCCATCGTATGACATCTTGAAAATCAAATAAAAATATGTTAAATTTCATATTAAAACCTTTTTTTTTTTTATATTTTCCTGATACATACATAAATATAGCTAAATATCAAAATATTATGTAAAATAATTTTTGTAGAAAATTGAGAAATTTTCGTAGGAAAAAAAAAGAAAAAAAAAACAAAAAACAAAAATTATCCATTACAAATAATTCATATTATCTTACATTTCTATATATATATATGTATACATATATATATATATATATATAATATATTCTTATTTATGATTCGCCATTAATGGTGTCTCGGAGTTAGTGCGCATTGGATTCAGTGCGTTACTTTGGAAGCCATGATTCCAAGCGTGTACATTGTAATCATTACCGACATTATTGTCATACAAATATGATAATTTTCTTCAGGAAAATGTCATAATATGATGTAAAAAGTATATATTAATATTATCTTACCTTCGGTTCTTCCGAATTATTACTATTTTCACCGTCACTCGCGTAACTCGCTAATGAATCCATAATGTCGTAAAAACGAATTGCAGACCAGTGCGGACTGTCTCTTCCGATTCTAACAACTTGGCGGCGCTGCGATATTTTTCTCTTTCTCTTCCTCTCTCTCTCTCTCTCTCTCTCTCTCTCTCTCTCTCTCTCTCTCTCACTCTGACTCTTTTTCTCTTTCCCTCTCTCTCTCTTTCTTTCTTATAAAATGTATAACGTCATTGGACGATATTCACATTTCTATTTATTCTTATCTAATATTACGATAGAATATTAGATCTATGAAACATATTCAATATTGACATATCATACGATCGTAATAAATTTGCTATTATTTATTTTTGATTTATGTCATAGAAACAAAGAATATATGTATATATATTTATGTGTGTATATATATATATATCACGACTTTAGATATTTAACAAATATTTTTAAATATTTCGATATCAGTGCCATCTCGTAATCATTTTGAAAACAACGTTGGACTTAGTTCATAAGAGAAGTTGTCTGACTTATGATTCGAGGTGTAGGTTATGGGTCACTATTGAAACGCAGTGTTATGCGCCGATAGAAAGTTTATGCGTTGTGATTCATGCCGGATTGTTTACAGGAATGAAAAGGAAAGCTAATTCATTTTAAAAGTCGTCAGAAATTTCATTAAGTATGGGATGTTGCTACAGTTTTTGTAAAGAGGACACTGGGCCCCAGGTGAGAAATATTGAAACGAATATCAAGATTGTTATTAATTGTATTTTTTAATATTTGTCTTTTATCGTTTTTACTTTGATATGTATATACGTATATGTATATATATATATATATACATATATGTATATTGACGTGGGAGGACACATGAGTTATCGCAGTTGTCATTGTTCTTTCTTCTGATAAAAAAAAAAAATGTTTTTTTCTTTAAAATATTTTATTCTCCATTACAGATATTTTTAATTTTTTTTTAGGTTGTAGCATAAACAAGATCAATTGAAAATATAAACAATTCATTTTATTCTAATTTTAAACATTTATTTATGACTCACTTCAAATAGACATATTTATGATTATCAAGAAACCACTTGTGATCAATTTAAACTTAATATTGTTAATGTTCACAATGTCAATTTATTGAAGTTTAATGTTTAATCTTTAAAATGGAAAATTTTATTTGGCTTTTATATAATACTTTGATAATTCAAATACAATTCTTTTGAATTATACAATTAAACATATTTGTAGCTTATATTGTAATGATATAATAACAGAAATAGCAATGCAAAGGTGTGGTTTGTAAAATTTTATTTTGAGAACAAACATTTAGAGAATAAATTATGTTATAGACGTTACTCTGATTTTAATAAGAAAACTTTGCAAATATTAATGCGTTAAAAATCGTGCTTAACAATGCAAAAGTTAGCAAATAAATTCGAATTTTTATATATGACGAGTGTCAATAAGGAAATAGAAAAATTTTAAAAAGGTTAGGAAATTTAAGATTTAAATGTCTCACATACTAATACCCAATTCATTTATGTTATAACCCAATACTATTACCTTTGTTTAATAATGTTTTCATAATATATATATAGTATATAAATATCTTTGAATTAAGAAGATTTTTATTTATAGAGTGGGGAAGTGAATGAGAGGACTCATCTTTTAGTAGATCCTGTTAGTAATAATACAAACATACCAAGAGTACATAGGTAGGTATATTTGCTATGTTTCCTTACTATTTTAATTTTTTTCATTAAATCAAATAAAGCTTTATTATTTTATCATTTTCTAGCGATGATTATGTTAATCAATATGCAAATTCTGAACCCAAGAAGACAGATGAACAAAGTGCATTGAACAGAATTCTGCATGAAACTGCTGCGTGAGTATTGATTGCATTTTAGTCAAATTAGTTGTGCAGTTTTTATTTTCTTGTCGCATATATATATATATATATATATATATATATATATTTATATATATATTTTTCTTAGCTTATATATTGTTAAATATTATATACGGTTTCTTATAAAAACAAAGAAGGAAATATTTTATTTACAGAAATGTAATAGATATTGGAGCATTAGATTCACATAATTTAGAGCAACATGAATATATGGATAGATCACGAGCTTATGCAAAACGCATAGAAGCATGGGGCTTTAAGGTCCCGGATAATACAGTGTGTCTCCTTAAAGATATCCCTGCACCGGAAAGAATACTCGCATCTAATCCACTTGCTGCTGGAGATCATGAACTTGTAAGATGTATCTTTACAAGAAAAGAAAATTAACATTGATCGGTATGAATATTTGACATAAATAATTTTTATTAATTTCTTTTCTACAGATCACTGGTATGCTCAAGAATGCAGTAGTTGCATTAAATGATATTAAAGTAGAACATAAGGAAGATTTGGTAGTACCTTTCTTATCGTGATCTTACAGTAATTCCATCGACAGGATACAACATCATCCTGTTTAAATGGAATTATAATGTCAGGAGACACAAAATATCTATCTTATCAAACTGAGCTCAGCGATAATTTGATTTGAGTCTGAAATAATATTAGAGCTTGTTCAAAAATGAATATGAAGTAAATATTAAGCGCAATGGTATATTATAATTAAGTTTGAATGATAGGTCTGCTCTCATATAAAAATATATTTAAAACTAAGGCTTGAGAAATTTTTCAACATGTAATATATTTGTTATTGGATGAAGAAAAAAAAAAAAAGGTCGATTTTTTCTTTTTTTTTTTTTTCTTTTTTTTTTTTTTCCTTTGAATTTGTTCCTTAAGATTAATTATCAATTTGATAATATTATTATTTCTTTTTGTATAGCTTATTTATAATCTCTCGCGTGTGTTAAAATGATTTGTTGTTGTAGAATTTATATTACTTTTCGATCTCGTTTATTCCTTGCTAAATTTTTTCAACATTTTCCATTCTGTGATTTTTACAAACAACTACGAGAAATCTTTTGGAAAAGATTTCCTATGATTAACAATTGATAATGTTATTAATAAATGTGCATTTTTAACGAGATCGAAAAGATAAGGATTTATATTAAGAAGAAAGACAAGGTATGTAATATTTTATCGTGGCTTCAAACCCCAATTTTAAAAATGAAACGATAAAAATTCAACTGCATAATAACATTATGAAAATATGTTATCACACTAATAAAATACATATATAAAATACATTATCAGACCATTACGAAAAAACTGTTATTATTATTATTATTATATATATATATATATATATATATATATGTATATATATACATACATATATATATATCTAAATGAATACATGTGTATATATATATATATATATGTGTGTGTGTGTATGTATAATATATATTTTGGTCTTATATACACGAAAAAGTGTACGAAAGCGATCGAACACACTTTTGAAAGGGAAACAGGATCCTATAGATAATAATGAAATAAATGTTAAAAGTCTGTTTTATTGAAATAGTTGTACAAACGTTTTGTAAACACGATTGTGAATATCAGTCACGAAGCTAAGAATAAATCTTATATATATATTCGCCTAATATATCTTTTGTCTGTTAAAACGTGTACTTATATTTTATATTGATAGAAATTTGTAGTGATATTTGTATTAAGGATACTCATCATTTATAAAAATTATGACAACCCTGCCTTATAATAAACGAATATATGCTTATATAAGTAATCTTTCTCAATGTTTGCTTGTAAAATAAAATAAATTAATAATTATTAAATATTTCTATATTGTCACAATTTACATGAATTAGAATCACAATTTTTTTAAATAAAATAAATGCAAAATAAAGTTAATAATAATATTTAAAATAGGAAAAATAATTTTTTAATTATTATTGTATACATATATATTATATACTGTATATGTACATATATATATATATATATGTATATATATATGTATATATATATGTATATATATATATATACTTACAATTAAAAATGCTACAGGTGGGAGACACGGTCAGTAGATAATATACAGTTAGATATACAGGAAACTTTCAAGTAAACATCGTATTGTATCTGACGAAAGCAACAAGTAGAGAAAGAGAAAAGGTGAGGGAAAAAGGTTCGTGGGTGGGGGGGTGAGAGAGGGGATCTCGCCGTAATAACGGTATTTATTTTAACCGCGCTTTTGTGGCATAAATCGAATCGAACCCATTTACCTAACCGTCAAGAAAAGATTCAACGAAATAAATCAAAGGAATTATATTTTTTTGTTATAACAATGAAAACATAACAAAACTAACATTACACTAGTAAAATTTTCACTTCATAAAATTTCCCGTATAAAAATGTGTGACGAATAATCTAACGAAAAAAAAAAAAAAAAAGAACGATCACAAGATTAAGACTTAGGTTCTACGTTCTGAGGGAAAAAAAATAAAA